TGAGGTTTGTGGAAGCAGGTTCTGGTCCTCAGTGTCTAAGACCTGCTCCCTCCAGGCTCCTGTTGATCTTCCCTATTGGCCAAGCCCAACAGGAAGCCAGAGGACACATTAGACCCTTGAAAGAGTTCCAAAAGGTAAGACTCTGGGGGCAGAAAGTAAAGTGGGGGAAAAGCAAAAAAATAAGGTACAGGGGCAAATGGAAGCTATTTGAAGGTGTGGGTTCAAGATAGTGGAATAAGCACAAACCCAGTCTCCCATTTTGACAGAAAAGCTAGAAGGTATATATGTGGTAGGCCCTAATTCCTGAAGGTTTTTATTTCATGAACACCATGGTGAATTCAGTTACACCTATGTAGAAGCAGGGGTTGCAGCTAATTTTTTCTACCTAATAAAGGAGAGAGGCATTTCAAAGTCTAGAGGAAAATCAGGAAGGGGAGAGAGGTGTGTTTTGAAGCAAGAAGAAAAATTTCAGTAGACTAGTAACTGGGAAATAACAGGTCCAGAATTATTCTGTAAGCCGTGGAGTGAAATCACAGCTGAGGATCTATGTGAGAAAGTTTCTTTTTTCTATTGAAATATATTTAACACATAGCACTGTGCAAATTTAAGGTGTACAGCATGTTAATTTGATACATTTATACACTGCAATATGATTGCCATTGTAGTGATAATTAGCACCTCTATCACGTTACATGATTATCCTTTCTTTTGAGTGGTTAGAATAATTAAGTTCTGGTCTCTTAGCAACTTTGATGATTATAATACAATATTGTTGTCTGTATTTACTGCACTGAGAATTTTGGCTCTAGAACTCACTACTCTTTGCAAGTTTGTACTCTTAACATCTGTCCTGTACCCCACTCCTTATATCTTGGTAACCATCATTTACTCTCTATTTTAACAAGTTTGGCTTTTTTAGATTTCATATATGTGATATAGTACAGTACTTGTCTTTTTCTGTTTGACGTCATCGTGAGAAAGTTTTGATGCAGAATGCTGGGAGCATGACCAAGAGTGAGAACCTAGGGGCCAGAGAGGCCCTAGGTCCAAACGCCAGGATGATCAACTGGAGCGCCAGGGCAGAGAAGCAGGTAATGTGATGTCTGCATGGCCCTCACTTTGAACTCCAGCATGGGTCAATTAGCAGCAAGGACTGTACTTGCCTCCAGCCAAGAACAGATAAGTGTGTGAAGAGTCAAAGACCAAGGACTGAGGACACCAGATGGGATACAGAATATCCTGTGCAGTGGTAAGTGGCTTGTTGCAACTTGAAACATCCTCACACTGAATACAGCGAAAACCGTCCTTGGTTCATTACTTGCCCAGATAGGGAGCTCAGTCGGAGGCATCGGGTGGACAGGGAATTTGAACCAAAGAATAAACACCCAGTCGAAAATCACAAAGCATCTGAGAAAAGCCAACACTATGAAAGATAATAAACTCAGCAAACTGAGGAAACCAGAGCAATTATATTAAAACTGTACACACTGTATGCAATGTTCTCAGAGGTATAAAAAATAAAAGATGTTCAATAAAAAAGAATCACTTAAAGATCTTTGAAATAAAAAAAGTTAAAAAAGCAGGTTAAAGAGAAGGAAGGATTTAGGTGTAGGGAGAGTTGCTGAGTTGAAAGGCAGAGCTAAGACATCTCTCAGAATGTAGCACACTGTTGAGGAGATGCAAAGTACAAAGGGAAACTTAAGGCATATGGAGGATAGGCCAAAAGCTTAAATGCCTAAAATGCTTAAAAGCTTAAAAAGGGCGCGAACAGGAAGCAATAGAAAAGAGAAATAAAGCAATTATTTGAAGAAATTGTATCTAAAAACTTATGAGACTTGAAGCATCAATAGCCTACGAACTGCCAAAGATGAAAATATATAAAAAATACACACAATAATGTACATACTAGAAAGCCTTTAAAATGTCAAGAATAAAGAGAAAATCCTAAGAACTAATAGAGACAAAAGTTAGGTTAATGACGAAAGTTGTGAGAATGATACTGGATTCAGACTTCTCATCAGCAGCACTGGTTATGGGAAGATAGTGAACTGGGTTCTGCAATAACCTGAACCTGGAATTCTATACAAACTATGCCAAACTACCATTCAGAATTAAGGGAGAAGTGAATATATTTTCAGATATATAAGGACTCAGTCTACTTCCCAAAGAATCTCTGTGAAAAATTATTAAAGGATTACTATAATAATAAGAAAAAAATCCTTTTGGAAGTAATTGGTGCAAAAAAAGCAATGATGAGGAAAAAAATTAATGAACTATATTAACTATTCATTATTAAAATATTTTTTAAAAAATCTGAACCAAATTCTAGAATATAGAAATTGATAAGTGGGGGCAGGGGGAATATGAGTGGGGAAAAATTAACATATTATAAAATGTGAGGCAGCAAGAATATTTTATTGGAAGTCTACCATAATATAGAAAGGATTCTCCAGGGAAGTATTTCAAGGATCCATGAACAATACTACCCGGCCGTAAAAAAGAAGGACCTCTTACCCTTTTGACAACATGGATGGACCTGGAGGTTATTATTCTAAGCAAAATAAGCCAGTCAGAAAAAGAAGAATACCATTTGTTCTCCCTTATGTGTGGAATCTGATGAACAAAGTTAACTAACGAACAAAATAGAACTAAAGGCATGGATATGTGGAACAGACCAATGTCAGTGGGGTTGGGGTGGTGGGGTCTGGATAAAGAGAGGCGAAGAGATTAGCCAAAGAACATGTGTGCACAGCCCATGGACACAGACAACAGTGTGGTGAAGGCCAGTGGGAAGTGGGGAACGGGAGCTGGGCAGAGGTGGGAGGAGAGTGGCAAGGGGGACATCTGTAATAGTGACAACAATAATAATAATAAAAAAGATATTATCCAGGGGAGTATTTCAAGGATCCATGAACAATAGAAGGATAATAAAACAACCCTGTATAGTAGTATATGTAAGAATAAAATATAGATTCCAGACACTGAGTCCTTGAGGCCAAATAGGAAGAAGCACCTGGAGAAATTAGACATCGATGAAAGGACAAGAAGAAAAACTATCAAGACAAATGGAGCATTTAAATTGTATCCTTCACTGTTCATGTGAATGTAAGAATGATGTGGTGGGGATGATACAGTACTTATGGAAATTGCTTACAATTTTGTCCACACATTTGTAGCTACATTCAGTCCCTAACTTGAGCCAGCTCTCTGATTCACGCGGATAAATTACACGACTGCCTTCGTGAACTGTACTCCCATCATTCCATCAGCTTGTCTGTAGGACGTAACCCAAGACACTCACTATTTTCTCCATCATAAAGACACCTTTCTCTGCATCACAACTCTTGAATTCCTGGGCCCAATTCCAACGTGTGTGTGAGGTTTCCCCAGACCAACAACAAGCAACTCTCTGGACACCAGCTGGATGTCTTATAATCGAGCTCAATTCTGACATTGTCTACCTGGAGATAGCAAGAGATTCCACAGGTTCAGGGCTCTGTCCTACAAGACTACTCCTCCCTCTACCACTTCAGATGCCAGTCTCAGGTCCAGGTGCTTCTGACCAACAGGCTAAAAACTAAAAATTCCAGTGACCTCCTTCAACTCAACATGACTATTGCAACTCCAAGTTGTTGCCTGTACTTCTGACTGACTGGCTAGGTTCCAAGGACCAACTCCTTGGGTTCCATTGATTTGCTACAGTAGCTCACAAAACTCAGAGAAACATTATACTTACTAGATATTTGCATTTTTACCCCTGATTTATAATAAAGGGATATAATTCCAGAACAGCCAGATGGAGGAGATGCAGAAGGCAAGGTATGGAGAAAGGACTGGGACTCTCTCAGATCTCACCATGTTCACCAACCAGGAAGCTCTCTGAAGTCCAGCCTTTTGGGTTTTATGGAGGCTTCATCACAGAGGCATGATTGATTCAACCTCCAACCTCTCGCCCCTCCTTGGAGCGAAAGCTCCACTCACCTAATTGCACAGTTGGTTCCCTGAGTGATCAGCCCGACCCTAGGTTACCAGGGGCTCTGCAAAAGTTGCCTCATTAACATAACAAAAGACACCTTCATGGATCTCATCACAGGATATCCCAAGGGTTTTAGAAGATTGAGTCAAGAACCGGTGGACAAACAATATATATGAGAAATGTATTTTAGTCATCTGACTGACAAATATATAATTATAAATCACAACATTGCAACAACACTGTATTTTACATTTTAAAAAAATGAAGTTTGCTTAAGTTTCAGCATCAGTGTTTTTCCTGAACAAATGGTTTGTTTTTGTCAATAATATGCAAATGACAAGTGTCTACTAATTGGGTAACTATCTTCTAACAATTTTAGGTGTTAGGGTTTTAGAGCCAGATCAGTATTGGTATGTACTAAATCTACTAATGCCACCCTTTATTTTTTAAATGATTTTCCCCTTCAGTTGGATTTCCTCAGTGATGACCTACCTTGCATTCTCAGTTGTCATTCACTGTGGGCTGGGGTATAATGCTGATTTAATAGCACCCTTTCAGCAGCAAGGGAAACATTATCTCATTAAAGTATACATCTAAAGACACTTCCTTATTTTAGAAATGTTAAAAAAAGAACAAAATTGTTTCTTATAATCAAACATGTTAATCTTGTCTTCTCACTGTACACATACTTCTGAAAAACCATCTCTAATTCTTTGAAGTAGGACACAAATTTAATTCAGTAAAGAAACCTCTGGTTAGTTATTTCAGTTTCTGAAAAGAAAAGCAACCTTAGTAGGCAGTTGTATGTTTTGAAGGAGGCAATTTGCAAAACTGGGATTCCTAGTGGGTAATAGAGTTGATGCTTCTAAAACTATTTTTTTATGTAAAAACATGTAATTATCACATTTCCATGTTCAAACAACAGGGTTTATATTCTGGAAATAAGAGGGAGGGGACCTGGTCAAGCTTCAATAAGACTTTGCCTTTGCTCTGGGTTTGGAAAATAAGGTAATTGTTTACTCACTGGATTCTTCAGTGATGTTGCTGGCAAAGGAACTTCCCCCTGCTGAGCTGCATCTTTGGCCTTTGAATTGCTGCCTCCTCCTGGCCCACTGGTCTATTGCTTCCTCCTGGGAACCATCACTGGCCCTTGAACCTCTTGGAGCCAGTTCCTGGGGTAACTTGAAGAGGCTATTTATTTCCAAATTCCAATCTAGAGTAAACCACAGTATATAAGAAAAGTGAGATAATATTTCAAGATAGAATTTCACATATTCCAATCTTTAAAACAGAATCACTATAGACTAGAACTAGAATAATTTAATTTACCTTCCTCATGATTCACTTTCTAAACTTGTATTACTTAAAAAAGAAGAGCCATATAATGGAAAATCGATTTATATAGGAAAGAGGGATCACTACACATTGCCTCAGTTAGATTAAATTCACAGTTAACCCTCGAGCACCAGCAGTATACACAATTCTATATTAATTACTCTGGAGGAGCGAAGTGCAAATAAATTGTTAATCATGTCCTCTGAATGCTCAATAAGAAGGCAAGATATTATTACCTGAGTTAGTTATATTATAATCTAAGTTTACTATTGAACTCAAGGTCTTTATGGTTTGACTTCCATTAATCACAAGAATAAAAATTTCATGATGCTTTTCTTGCTGTGGTGTTGGTTCAAAATGAGAAAAAGAGGGGAAAAAGCCAGAGTACATAAACTTTTGATAATCTTCTTTTTGAATAAATAACTATTTAATAATTTATTAATAAATAACAATAAGAATTTAAAAACTTCTGCATTCTGTCATCACAAGCCACAGTACTGTGTATTAATTAAAAGGAAGAAAATTACAAATAAACTAATTACAATACAAACTTTAAGAAAATAACTAATAAAGTGAAATAAAACTAAACCAAAGTAGCAGAGCCTATAATATCTAGAAAGTCATTTGTAGGTTTAGAATTGGCTAAGATTTTACTTACTTTACCTTTTTTGGTACTATAAGAAGAGGTAAACAACATCAATTTAAAAAGAGACCGACTCTTATCCTTTATTTTTATTCTATTCCCAGGAGCAAATGAGTTTTTAAAACTTGATCTTTGTAAACAAAACTCTAACTTAGCAGTATCAAAGTTTGTTCTCAGAACTATTTAGGGATCTAAGGACTGTCTAAGGATCTCTGATATATCCATGAGTAAATTGTCTTCTTTATTTTTATGTATAATTATTAATGATAATTTGCATAATAATTTAAATTTCACTTGTCAGGGCCAAAGACACACCATGGGAAAGAGTTACTATTCATTCCTTTGGTCTTCCAGAACTCCGCTGTTGACTCCTACCTGTTCCCTAGGAGGTGAGAGGGTGACAGAAAGACAACATTAAATCTGTGATATTTACTACTGCTCTCTTTTTAGATACTAATTTCCACCATGCTGGTGACTTGGTCCACAGCTATGAACAAGAGGACTTTTGTTCCTCTGGAACTTGACAGAGCGGTGGAACTTTAAAAAATGCTACAGAACTGGCCTCTGGCCGTTTTCTCCAATGCTCCTATAGTTCCATGACTTGTAGCGACAGAATGTCCGCGCTGATCCCAAGCCATCCATGAGAAGAAGTTTCTAATGTCAAATATTTTACATTTAAAAGTGATTGTTTCTGAAATGGAAAACAATGGAGAAAAAAGAAGTCCTATGGTCCTAGGAAACTGTGTGATGGAAATATGGCCCTGTGACGCGGTGGGAAAAGTTTTCATTTAGAGTATCTTTTTATGTACTCAAATGAGGAGAAAATATGTGGCCTACTGCATGTTTTGAAGTTTCATTTGAGACAATTTGTAATGCCCACTTGAGTGCAAAGCATCATTCCCATTGTCCCGCTTGTTATTTGTAGTCTCAGGTTTGCAAAAATGTAGAACACCTTTTATATGCTTAAAAACTTCTACAAGATTTCTTTCAAGTAGTCATTCAGTCTAAGCTTGAACACTTTGCAGACTCAAATTTGCTACCTTTTTACTACTTGAATCAGCATGATCCTTGAGTACTTCAAGCTGATAGAAAGTTTTACCACAGCAAATTGAATCTATATCTTAGTAACCTACATTCACATGTTACTGTCTCCCTCATTCCATAAATACCCAATAGATGTTTACTGAGACATTCTAGGAATCAGGCAATTTGGTTGGGGCTAGAATGAAGACACTGAAGTTTCTTGAAGGATCTCTGTCAAAATACACACTATCACTTTGCAGAAACAATATGCTAATCCGTTAAAGAACACCTTAATATCTTATCAAGCATGAGTGAGAAAGTTACCACTCTGAAAACCAGAGGTCGGCCCGGAAAGTGAGTTGGAAGCCAAGGAGAGGAAAAAGCACATCTGGGAGGAGCCTGGCTGGAGGACAGCATGGGCATGGCTGGGCCCTGGACCCTGGGCCCTGGACTTGCTCATCTATTGAGAAATGTTGAAATGGGCACAAGTGCGGAAAGTTCCCAATTTCACCAGAAATCAGCCTGTTGGAAATGATCTCAGCAGTTGTATTCGGCTACTGGAAAAGAAATCAGCTTTCATTCATCTTGGTGCAGACTTTGGGACCACAAAGCTTCTCAGAGATGCAGTCCTCTGTACCTTGTTGCATTGGTGTGGGCTTTTGGAATCATGACTTCCTTAGGGGCACAGGGAAACAGAATATCTTACACAGTGCAAGCAAATTTTGTGACATATTACACATGAAGGGCTGTCTAATTATAAATATCTCTATGCCATTGAAATGTCATTTACTCCTCTCATCTTTTATTTTCTCAGAGGAGCCTAGTTTTGGTTTTCTCATTATAATTTTTTTATGACAGAGTTTCTGAGAATTTGTGGCAAAGATTTTGAAAATGTATTTCAGTCCATTTAAAGTTGAAGAAATGAGTCCCTGAGAAACCTCTCTACCCAAGAAGGTACAGACCTGACCTGGCAGAGGAGAACCCGGATTTAGTTTTGAGGTGTTCAGGCTGATATCCTTCCCTTTGTGCCACTGGCTCTTCTACCTCCCACCACCTGCCCATCCCCACCCTCTCTTGTTTATCCAGCTCAGAAGTCGTAGATTTTTCAGTCTGCACTGTCTTCTAAGTCATATAATCTAGAATTTATATATATCAAAAATCCAGATCTCCAGCTACCTTAAAAAAAGCAAAAAGCCTTGCTGTACTAGACCCACATTCTCATTCCCTCAGGACAGTACTCCCTCTAGTTCACCAACACTCAGGGGCAGCCGGCTACACTCATTTACACGGCAGGCCTGGGCCCTGTCTGCAGTCTGGATGGTGACCTCTAGTTAAATCCCAAGGGCATGCTCATGGGTGGAGGGAATGATGCACTCATGCCAGGGATTCTTAATCTGAGGTTCGCGGCTGGACTCTGAGGAGTTGAAGGACCCCTTTGAAAATACAGGCATATGTTGGTGCCTATATCAAATGCATGATTTTCTGGTGAAACAGTACAAAGATGTTCTGGCTTCTCAAAGCAATCTGCACCCTAAAACAATGACCAAATCTTGACCTGAGCTATCAATAGTATGATGAAAACAGTATTAAACAAAGTATAAAAATACTTAGAGCTCAAGGAGAATCAAAGTCATGCAACATTTATAGATTCAAATATCTTTTAATATAAACATTTAAATTGCTGAATTATCTTCCTGGTTCTTTGTGTTTGTATGTGAACAGAGTTTTACACAAAAAAAGCCTGTTGTGACTTCCCTGAATTCAGTATTTTATTCAACAATATTCATTGAGTGTGTCCACTACAGGACAGGCCTTGTTCTGGTGCTGTGGATATAGCAATGATTAAATCAGAGAAATCCATACCCTCATGACTCCATCCTAGTGGGAGAAGACAGAACCACAACAACAAAATCCCCAGTAGTGTGTGTGTGTGTGTGTGTGTGTGTGTAGCACATTAGAAAGTAAAAGTGCTATGTGTTTGAGTAAAACATGGAAGAAAGACAGAGTGTGCTTGGGCTGTGATGGAGTGTTTCACTGAGAAGGCACCATGTGAGCAAAGATTTGGAGAGATGAAAGTGAACCATGTGGACACATGAGGGAAGGTGATTCAGTTAGTGGCAGCTGCTCAAGCAAGGGATTGATGGGGGATCTTTTATGGAAGGTTCTAGCAACTCAAGGGAGTCCATGTGGCTGGAACAGAGTGATGGAGCAAGAGAAGTAGAGGAATAAGAGTTATAGGAACAGCCTTTTGATGAGTCGCAGTAACACAGAGAGTTGTGCTGCAATTGTGCATCAAATGTGACCATTTAAGAGCCTATTAAAGTGCAATATCAGCTTTGGGAGGATTCTGACTTGAGTGATTAATTTTATTAAGGACATACGCCTTGCTGGAAGAGACAGTCCAGGGAAGGGCATATCGTGGGGAAAGGAGAGTCAGCCTGGGTGGGAAGAATATACATCTAGATGAGCACATGTCTTCTCTGGGAGACACAGTACTCTTAGTGCAGGTCTATGTCTTGAAGACCTAGATAATTATGGACTGAACTCCATGCTGAGATGAATGCCATCCACCTTGGCATCTGGAGGTATGTTGGTTCTGGGAAGCCAACTGTGACTGGTAGATCTTTGCTTTAGGGTACTCATCTCAAGCGGTGACTGTGTAGATTGTGTGTTGTTGTAGGACATTTCTTCTCCATGCAGTACATTTCACATTTCACGACAACACTTAAGTAATTGATCATGCTTTTGTATTTTATATTAACTTCTACATTTTGTTAATTCTACTTTAAAATAGAACAACAAAGAAGAGAGAGCTTCTCAATGAAGTTTCAGCATTCCAAATTCCCAGAGAAGTTAGGAATGTTACTGGCAGTATGAAGTTTTTATTTGCTCAAGATATAATTTAATATATAATGTGCAATAACACTAACACAAAATATAAAATATTTTGGACTTACTGAGAAAAACAACAAGGGCTTTTTATGGAGTGACCAAAATGGTATAGTGTGGATCCCAGATTGAAAGCAGACAGGCAGTATTATGTACTTAGGAAAGAGCTTCCACTTCAGTCCTCGTGAGGTCTGGAGAGTTTCTGGGTTCCATCGAGGGTTTGAGCAGGGCCAAGCAATGCACAGGGAGGTCAGAGATCTGCTTGAGTTCAGAGGCCCCATGGATGGCTCAGTCAGGATTAGCCAGGGCCATTTCTGGTTTTTGTCCTTTGCTTTAATTACTATTCCACATGGCCTCCCGAGACATGTATACCATGCTTCTGCAACACCACAGCGAGCTTTCAAAACACACTTTATCACAAACACATTTTTCCTATTCTTCTAAACATGCTTAGCTTGCAGGAAGAAAAGAAATGGTAGATTTTTTAAAGAGTGGCAAAAGGCTAATGTCTCCTACAAAATTGATTTGGCAATACATCAACCTTTTAAAGAGAAATTGATTTTTTTTTTTTACTTTATATTAAACTGTAGCCTTGGTGATTTTGTTATGCACTGTTTATGAGTGGGGTGGGTGATATATGCTTGCCCGTATTCATCTAACTCTAAAATACTCCATATATCTTCAGCAATAAAAAAAAATCCAAAGTAATAAAAAAAAGCCCTCCCATTAAGACTTCCCAAAGCTCTAACATGTAAAAGTAAAGAAAGTGAAAGATGGTGTGTAGCACTGTACCTCTCAAAATCTTTTGCTTCTGAGGTGAACGCAGTATGTCTATTCGGTGATAGTAATTTTCCTTTGGACCATTTTTATCCTCTGCAGAATTTGGCCTTCTCGATGCAATTTTTTGGCACTCTGCCACCTTCTGTTTAGAGCTGGTGAGTCCAAAGTTTATTTCATCACGGTTACTGTGTTGGTCTGCATCACTGGTCGGTGGTTTCTCAATAAGAAACAGATTATCTGTGGCACACACGGCAGACTTGAACTCAGCAGTGTTTGGTGGGAAATCCATTTGAAAACAGGTTTCATCATGATTCTCAGCTGATAGGTCTTCAAAATCTCTGTGGCACGTAGTCTCTGCCACTGGCCTCATGAGGAACGTGTCCTTTTCAACATTTTCCAGAAAGCGGGGTAACTCTTTAAGGTTTTTTGTTCCTAAGGGACACTCACAATCAGCCAAGCTTTCTTTATCATTTTGAAGATTTAATCTCTGCTCAAACTCATCAGCTATCGAGGCCATGACCAACACTTCTGCATTGCTGGGGGCTACTGTCTCCACACAGCTTGCCTGGGACTCTGCTTGGCCCCATTCCACAGAGCTGTGGCTACGACTGTTGAGGCTGAGACTTGGACCCTGTGCACTCTTCCTTTCCGACAGTCGCTGCGCATCTGTACGAGAGTCACTCTGTAAAGCGGCTTTGTTAACGTCTCTGTCAGTCACATCAACCTGCGCTTCCTCATGGTGTATCACACATTCAGCACAGTGATCAAAGGAAAATGTATCCCCAGGGTTCTCTTTAGGTTCTGAATGTCTGGTGGCCCAGTGGGATGGACAGAATGGGGTGGAAGATGTCACAGTGTTCTGACTGGAAGGGAAAGACTTGGAATTTGAGTTCTCACAGTATTCTGCAGGTGGAATTTTGCTGCCTTTGCAATATGTGTTGGCTGCCTTTTCTCCTATGTGCTTTGCATTGAGAGAAGATGAAGAATAGAAGTCAGAGTCTTTGCTGTCCAGAACTGGGAAGATATTAGTAATGGTACTTGGCAAGTTATTTATTCCTTCTGTGCTTTGCTGCGTATATGAGTTCGATGTGATATTTTCTGGAATATCAAAGTTGGTTTTTCTGTCGCTAGCTACATCTTTAGGATCCTCAAAAGGCATTTTACTTAAGTCTGTTTCACTTAAACCTGTGGTCTTTAGGGCCTCATGTGATATAGGAAAAACATTTTTGAGAAGAGTCGCAGCTTCAAAGAGATGTTTCTTTTGCAGGGTGCCCTGATGACTAATTTTAGAGTCCTTCTGCTGAGAGACGGCAGCTTCTAACTCACAGTCATCTAAGACTGCAGATAGTGCATCAAGCTTATTCCTCCTCCTGGGGGTTGAGCCCAGAGAAACCACAACTGTGTCACGACTCTCCTCCTGGACAGCAAAGGCCATGGGAGGAGAGACATGCGAGCAATCCGGACTCCGCTGCTGGTTTTCAAGCTGCCGCTTTTCAGGTAGCCCAATGCCCAATTGTGCAGAAGACCTGGAACATTCTTTAGTCGTGTGATCAAAGGAAACGTTTCTGTATTTAGCTGTCCTCCCCCTTCTTTTAGGATGAGTTATATTAATTATTATATTCTGCCTCTTACTCACATATTTGATGTTAATTCCTTTTCCTACAATGCTAACTTTTAGTGAGGGTTGGTTCTCAGTTCTGGTGGTTTCTTCTTCGTATTTAGACAAAGACTCAGATTTTAGTTCTTCTATCAATATATTCTTGTAATTATAAGAGCGGCTTCTAGAAGAGTAACATCTTGGACTATGTCTGACAGAGTAACACTGGTGACATTTTGGACATCTCTTTTTTGTTGGGAATCGCATTTCTGTTTTACAGAAAATTCTATTCTTGTTTGCTACTTGAATATAGAAATTCCCACATTTTACTTCTGTGATAATTTTGCCTTTTGCTGGTTCATAGCCTTCTATTGTGTTCGGGAAATCCTGCAGTGTAATTTTTTCTGACAATGATTCTTCACAGTCATTAAACATGACCACTGGAAAGACTTTCCTTAGTTGATGAGAAATGGACGGGAAAGAATCATCATTTTCCTTCTCCCTACTTATTTTACTGCCAGATGGAGGTCGCTTCTTATCTTTAGGGAGAAAAGAGGAATTCTGCCTTTCAGTCCTAGAAGCAGATGTACACTCTTCTCCATTTTCCTTAGATTTCCCTAATGCCCCAGTTTGATGAAACACAGCCTCTGAGGTTTCTCCTTTGACTTCCTTTTCAAGACCCTTTACATTTTTTTGGCATGCTTGATTAGCAGGCTGAGGTTCACCTAAAGAGTATGCAAAAAACAAAAAAGTTTCTGTGTGTCCATTTAGAGAGCAGATGTTCCAAATACTAGGATGAAATTCAATGCTTATCCTTTCTAAGTATTTTGAATAACATTTTTAGTATGTCAAGGTATTCACCATAAAAGTCATTTCTAATAAATATCTTACTTTAAATCAATTATCTTAGAATGCAGAATATCACTTGGTTGTTTTAGGAAGAATCTAATTAAGCTTAACTTTAAAAGAGACTTCCAAATGAGTGAAGTAAAAATTTCAGAGCAAATTGATGCAAATAAATTTTAAAAGACTTCCTGATAAAGAGCAAGTTGCCATGTTCAGGTACTTGAACATAGCATTATAATACCAAGCTGGAACTAATTTGAGATGGTACAGGAAATAAACATGTAGGTAAAGTGAATGGAAGATACCTAAACACAGTTTCTAGGCAGCCTGTTAAAGAGGTCCGATAGCTCCCTTTGCCTGGGTTAGGGGTTTTTTTATGTGACAGAGAATGTATTTTAGTGTTGCCGGGTCCTCTCATTTTCCAGAAGTAAACTAGAGTCTGGATTTATTATATGAAACCTCCCAATTTCTGGGGATTGGGTCACATTTGGAAAAACCCTCTATAGATGGAGGCCAATATATTTAGGCACCAGCTTTGGCCCAAGAACTGCCAGCTTGCAAATTTTACTCCACTATTTTATAATGTTAGAGTCTTTTGCTATGAGAAATTAGTGGACTTGAGCATGAGTTCCCAGACCTTGAGTACAAAAACATTGAACAAAATATGAAGACCTGATATTATGTTTTAAACGACACCTAAACCGCGTGTCCACAAGGATATTTTTAATAAGTTGATGAAGCTAAATATTATAAAGGATTCTTTATAAATTTACTGGAAATGTTCTTAATTTAAATATGCTTATATGTTTTTAATATAAAATATCAAAACAAACTATACAAACACTAATATAAAGAGTAAATACACACATTCTCTTCAACAGGAAAATAAACAATACCCCACCACTTTGGCTAGAGGGGGCAGAGAAGTATGGAATGCAAAAAAATAATAATAATAATTGTTCTTTCAGAGTCAAATAAAGAATCAGAGGTTTAGGAATCATAACTTTCCAGCTTCAGGAGAGCTATACAAATTCTGATTTGACACACATGTTCTCCAAGCATACTGAACTTCCTTAAAGCGTTGACGGTTCCCGTTTGCCTCTCTTTTAGTCTGAAGGAATGGCTTTTTTCATGGTAAGTACTGAAACAGTTTCCAGTGGGCCTGGTTAGAATCTGAGAGCTATAACATGGAAGTCATGGGGGAAAAGACATAAAGACATGCCCTTTAAAACCCATTTATAATACAGCATGTTCACGAGAGCAGTTTATAGACCGATAGGCTGCCTTCCAGAACTGTAGATTACAATTTATTCTTAAAAAGCACCCTCATGCCAAGAACAGTTCATTTTATAGCCCTCTTCAATTTTATAATTTATAGCCTCTTTCAATTGACTACACTTCAATTTCTGCAAATAAGGAGATAGAACTGAGGTAGTTACATGATAATGTATTAAACACGGGTTCTAAGGATAGAGGTCTTAATAGCTTTTGTCTGAATAAGTAGATATTTCTATTGAAATTTTATTCACAATACTATCAATAATTAGTGCAGAAGTATATATGTAATTACAGTTAACCAAATCCTAAATCATTTTATAAACATTCTGTGATAAAGAAGAAAGTACATAAGCTGGGTATTGCATATTACACATACGTATGAAAGCAATGAATTGGACGTACATATTGTGGGATTCAAGAGTTTCCATTTTTTATAGGCTTTTCTTCTTTTTCTCATTTTTGGGAGCTGAGGGTCTTCAGCTTTCACCGTCCTTTGAAAGTATAAAATTTGAAATTATTTTCCACTCTAAATTTAAGTTTTGTAAAATTACTAACTCAACTAATTGCCAACTTGATAGCATATAGTATCTTTCTCTGGTATCCCAGTGTTCTCCTTTGAATACATTTTATCATAATTATACTTTCCCTCTTTGTTTAATTCTACCCCAACTATTTAGTACATTATTTTATACTACATGAACATTCAAACATATATTTTTCATATGTGTAGACATGTAAGATGCAAATTATAAAATCATATTCTGTTTGATTATTTTATATTCCAATATTTCTTGGCCTAATAGAAATAACTAATTTTTTTATGAAGTTGAACTAAATTAAATATTTTATCTAATTTTTTGTCCTGCTAAATTAAGTGAAGTAGGGAGAGGGATTGCTTTCATTACATTATTATCATATACATTATATTTAAATACAAGTTTAAATGCACACGAAATATTCTTTGTAGAAGAGCAAATTAATTCTTTATCTTTATTGTGAAATAAAGACTTATTTTGTCTGTTGATGTCTTAGCTAATAGAAAGTGTCTGTGGGGAGATATTTGGGGAAAGGCAGCCTCCTAACTTTCCAGGTATCACTTGCAGTAGGCACCAGCCTAAGCTTAGAGTTAAGCCTGATTCCATTGCTTTGCTTTTAGAAGACTGAACTGTCTGCAAAGACGCAAAGAGAAAGCCCCCCACTGAAGTAGTTTGTTTTGAGTGTATTTGGCGGGCTGTGCCTTTACATATCTCAGCAGAGAAGCTCAACTTTTTTCTGTTTTACCATAACTCAAATAAAATAGGCTGGTTTGTGGTCAGTTTTTGCAAAAATGTATTTAAATTCTTATCTCTCTCTTCAAATTTGCTACCTTATAGTAAGGGTTGATTTCAAATTTTTTCCCTCCATAAATTCTCATAACTTTCTGAAAATTTTTTTCCTTAGGCTACCTTTCTTTTTTCTTTATTGATTTTAGAGAGAGAGGAAGGGAAAGGGAGAGAGAGAGATAGAAACATCAATGACAGAGAATATCAAATGGCTGCCTTCTGCATGCCCCACACTGGGCATCAGGCCCACAGCCTGGGCATGTGTCCTGACTGGGAATTGAACTGGTGACGTCTTGGTGTATGGGTTGACACTCAACCACTGAGCCACACCAGCTGGGCAGAATTTTAAACTTCACATGAGGACACCACAATCACTTTAAATCTCTTCTACAATGAATTCACAATATTTACCTATTTCCTTTCTCTAAAAAAGTATGACACAGTTTCTCTCCTTTTCCCACTTTCTATCCCTTCTCCTCCTTCTCTATCCTTCATAGGAAATAGAAGCTAACAAAAGTTCTCCCCATTTTGCAATACTCAAACTACCAACTTCTTGCCCTGGCCAGTTTGGCTCAGCGGTTAGAGCGTCAGCCTGCGGTCCGGAGAGACCCGGGTTCGGTTCCCGCTAAGGGCACGTACCTTGGTTGCAGTTTGTCCCCGGCCCTGGTTGGGTCGTGTGGGTGGCAACCACTCGATGTGTCGCTTTCACGTCGATGTTTCTCTCTCTCTCTCTCTCTCCCTCCCACTCTATCTGAACAAAATATCGAAAAATGTCCTCGGGTGAGGATAAAAAAAAAAAAAAAAAAAAAAAAAAAACAAAAAAAAAACTACCAACTTCTTTGATTTGTATCATATACCATCAAATCTCTTCTATTTTGTGGATGAAGTAAGTGTCCCTGGCGCCATTTTCCTGAGATTATTCTCTTCTTTCTGTAACATCAATTTGTATCTTCCATCGTGTTATTATTTTAGCATATAAACATTTCCTGGGCCCTCCATCTACTGTCGCGTGCCCATGGTCACCTCTACAGCAACACATCTTGAAGGAGTGTCTATATGTACTGACTTCACATTCTCTCCTCACACCCTTTCTCAAACCCACTTCACACAGTCTGGTATCCTTACGACACCTCTCAGAGCCCTCTTGACAGTCACCAGGGACATCTATATTGCCAAAGCCAACAGTCACTTCTCTGTAGTTGGCTTAGTCACACTTTCAGAAGAATTTGACAAAAGTTATCGCTGCATTCCTTTGAATCTAGTCCTTCTTTTAGTTCCATGATGTCACACTCTCCTGGTCCTTGTCTCGCTCTACCGGCCATTCCTTCCTAAATGCCTTTGCTGGGTCTCCTCTCGTTCAACCTGTAATCTTTGGCATTTTCAGGGTTCCTCTCGCTTCTTTATTGACTCTCTTCCCAGGAAATCTTAATCATTTTCATACTTTTAAAATAATCTATACAGATGACTCCTAAATTCATAATTCTACTTCAGACTCCCCTTCCCCAAAGTCCAGGCTTAAGTATCCTACTGCCAAATTGGCATATTTACTTGAATGTCTAATTGTAATCTATTTATCATGTCACAAACACCTTCTCCAATGTCCTCTGCCTTCTCCAATTCTTTACTTCCCAGAATCCTTTCAATTTCAGTCAACAGTTTCACCATCTGTCTAACTCCAATCAACACCTGGCTGTCATCCTTGACGCTTCTCTCTACCTCACTTTCCTTATCAAACCCATCAGCAAGCTTTCCATATTCTGTTTTTAAATATCTTATCCTTAGTATGTCCACTAATTTTTTTCTCCTTTGCTAATGCTCCATTCTAAGCCCCCTTCTTTACATGTATACATATGTAGTTCAGACTTTAAAAACATATATATATAATATATATTCATAATATATGCATAATATATTTAAATATATATTCATTTATATTTTAAATTTGGACTATTGCAATGGCTTTCTGATTTTCTTCTATATTTATATCCTTTGATTATTTACATAGCAGCCAGGTTTTTAAAATATATAAATTAAACCATGCCATCCCCTGTTTAAAACCCTCTCTCTAATGGCCTCCCATTCCACTTTGAAAAAAATCTAAGCACTTTAGTTTTTTTTTTTTTTACACACATGTATAAAGTATAATTTTTTCCACAAGTGAAATACATCACCACTAGGCCTTGGGATATACATTAAGGTACCAATTTCACCACAGATTTGCTGGATTTATATTTTTCATAAATGTTTATTTGTTCTGTGCAAAATTGGCAATAAAGCTCAGGAAAGTTACCATGATTGCAGTTATATATCAGCCAAATTCCATCACATTTGAGACCTTTGTATTGAATTTTATAGACCTTTTTTTCTAACTGAGCTCTGACTCATTACTATAATTCACAGGAGAATGAGAAAAAAATGTAAAAAGGAAATACTAACAATATCTTTCCACTGTAGAATTACATAGTGACAGCATTATTCTGAGAAAACTGTTAGAATGTAAAGTTTTTTTTAAAGGTATTAGAAAATTTTACTAGTGCTACTTTTTTGACAAATTACTTAAAAATTTCTTTTGTATTGTTAAGCTGAAATGTTTTCCTTGGAACATTCAAAGGAAATGTTCTGTTATCAATAAGAAGAGAAAGATTCATAAAAGTATAAATAATGATCACTATTAAAATGTTAGACGAGACTAACATAAAATTAATTCAGAAGGTTACATGCTTAACCACGAGTCCATCCAGGACTCATTTTAATGCCTATTCACCCCAGTTTTCTGTAGAATTTGAAAGCAACTTTAGTCTATTTTTTATAACTTTATTTTCTGGATTTTAACACAAAGCCTATGTTCTCTGCACTAAATGGTTAAAAAAAATGTACACATATAAAACATATTATGAAAATTTTAAGTTTAAAAATATTCAAAGAGAAGAAAATTCTGACATTTCTATTTACTTACATTTTAAGTATACAAACTTATCTCTTGTCATTCCTGATTTTGAATAGCATGTACTTTACATTTTTTGGTCTTAAATTTTTTTTTAAGTATGTACAAGCATGAGAAGAGTTATATTGGAAAACATCTGTTTCAATAATACCCATATGTCACTTCAGACTTACACCATGGGGCTGCAAGGATAAAACTTAGCAAACTTGGCTGTTGGGCAGTAATTGTTAATGAATACTTTCCCAGTGTCCGGAAACTGAACAGCTTTAGTTAAGATCATTTAAGCTATTGCAAGTTGCTTTTCATGCCTCTACCTTCTTTCCTCTGTTGAAAACATTGAAGACTGTTTTTATATCTATATTTATATACTTTCCTATGGGTAAACTTTTAGAATCTATTAGGTTAAAATTTAAAAATGAAAACATCCAAATCTCATGTCCATTGAAACCAACTTTGTCTCTCCCTGAGCATACAACCGGCAGGTTGTTGAAGCTCACAGAGAATATTCATGTCCATCTGCAAAAGAGACTTTTGGAAATCAATGGAGCATACATCTGTTAAGGTATTGCAGTCAGAAGAATAAATATAAAAGTACTTTAATGCCAAAATAGTGATCTTTAAACATAAGCTTTGTTGGAATGTCATCACTCTATCTGACCCATAGTGGGTCAAACATATCTTGGGGGATGAGGGTAACACTTGAAGAGCAAGGAGTCCACCCTTGCAGAATCTGCAGAAATAAAATGCAGGTAGAAAAGAGCATTGTGGCCCTGGCCGGTTGGGCTCAGTGGTTAGAGGGTCGGCCCGCGGGCCAAAGAGTTGCAGGTTTGATTCCGGTCAAGGGCATGTACCTCGGTTGTGGTGCGGTCCCCAGCTCTGGTCAGGCTCCTGCGGGAGGCAGCTAATCGATGGGTTTCTCTCACATCGATGTTTCTACCTCCCCCACCCCCCATCTTTCCACTCTGTCTGAAGATAAATGGAAAAATATCCTCGGGTGAGGATGATAAAAGAAAAAGAGCACTGTGCAGTGTGGAATTTATTATTGTTATCATTGCTATTATTATTAACATTTTAAAAGCTAGGTAAAAATTTATATTAGTGAACGAGAAGAAAATTAAACTCACTATTTTATCAAGTTTGATATATTAAGTCACACCAGTGAAGGAATGGAAGGATGAACTAAAAACGAAAATCTCTTATACTTCCAAATGTGTCTACCCATGGA